AAACCATTCATAAAATTTTTTTCTTAATTAATTAATTGATATCAAGATAAAATAAATATTTATAATTTTTAGCGATTACTTTATAAATAATTGACGTAAAAATGAATATTAATTTCCAATTGATGACCAATTTATCTTAAAAATAATATCATCATTATTATTAGAACAATAATCACGTACGGAGATAATATATTTATAAATGCGTCAGTAAGATATAATAATGTTGTCTGTTGTAAGCAGAATAGTTTGAGTTTCCTCAACCCAACATGACGTGCATTTTTCATTTAGCGGAATTCCCAGATCGTCCTGGAGTTCCCAGCAAATTGTCCAAATAGACAGCAATTACCATCAGCAAAACCGGAATCTGGACGAGATTCAACACATTAAACCCCGTGAGCGTACACATACCCCTTGTGAAGTTTGCAAGCGTGTATATGCCAGTCACGAGGCTCGCCTTGAACAAATCTTTCGCTCAATATATATATATATATATAAAGATACAAAGATTTATTTTATTTATTCTCCGGCAAAGTAGCTTGCGGCTTCCCCTTCGCTAATTCTTCGCGAATACTTTCACTGCATCACTCAGAGACACACATGATACACAACAGTAGGCTACAAGTAACTATTCACTTGCTGCACGGTATTAAATTAATGAGCGACCTTTGAAGATAGCGATCGAATCTCTGTTTATATATCTAAGGCCTTACTTTTTATTAAATTATATTATCTCATAAAAATACTCACAGATCCGGCAGTCGGCTAGTCACCGCAGGAGTCGTTTTATAAATTTTTACTCTTTTTTTTTATAAATATCTAAATTCATCTCATGAATATTACACAATCGCTGGCGCCTGAGCTAAAATTAGTTTATCCCAAAATCAGGTCTGTTATAAATAAAATTGTGATTATTATTAAAATATTGTAATTTATTAATTTTATTGAGGTAATATTTTAAGATTGCAAGTGTCAAATGTCGAATATTAAATTTTTTCTGATTTATGGAGTAAATTTAAATAAGCAATATTGCCTTGGAAAAAAAAAAGAAAAACAGACATAATTTTTAATCGTTTTTTTATTAGTTAGAACTTTAACTTGAATTTTAATTATTGAAAATTTTTAATAATATTTTATTTCATTATTTCAATTTTCATTAAAATCTCAATGAAAAAAAATTAACTTGATTCTCATAAAAATTTTTAAACAAAAAAAATAATTTTAAAGAGCTTTATTGTCTTGATTTAAGTTAAAAAATTTTTCAACTAATGGTTTAAGTAAATTTTTTTTTATTCAAGAATTTTTTGTCTTGATGTATTACAATAAAATTTTTAAAAACTTCTAGTTTAAAAAATTTTCTAGTTTTAAAAAATTTTTCTTTAAAATTAAATCAATTTTTTTTTCAACTTTTTGAAAAAAAAAAATAAAAATTGTGATTTTTTTTAACATCATCTAAAACGCAATATTCTAAAAGTTCAACATCTTTTTAATAATTTTATACTAGACAAAATAGACAAAATTTTATTAAATTCTAAACAATAATCCTAAAACCGACAGTACTACCTTAACCGCAGTATTAAAGCAGTTATTATTATTACCCGGCAATAAATATCAACTTGTTATCACCACGTACTCGTCGATTAGTAAGATTGAGAGATGATACCAAATACATACGAGTATATCTGAATATGTCACGGACGGAGACAGTTAGTAGTAATTACGCGATTCCCGCGGTGATTTAAATCCTCAATCATTTATCGTCGTTTTAAATTATTATTTTACTTATTATTATTTATTTATTAAAATAAATATTCAATGCTATTTTCAGTTAAAATTCTATTTTATAATTAAATATTACACCTCAAATCTGTTCAGTTTATTAATTTTGATAATTTCAAATTAATTTTTTAAAATTTCGTGATGATAAGTGATAATTTATTGAAACTAGAAATAGTGCTCTAAGTACATATATACTCGCAGGTAAATCCTTACAACAAAAAATAATAGTTTTTTTATCCAGTAAATTAGAAAATTATTTTTTAACGAGTTACTTTAAACTATATTTTATTTTATTGTACCATGTATACGTATATAAATTTATTACATATGCTTGTTTGGAAGAAAGATAAAAAATTGTCGATGTTTGATAATTTTTAGCTTTCATATTCAGTTTATATAATGGAAAAATACTAGAAAAAATTTGCATACGTCTTTTAAAAAATGTCTTTATTTAAAATGTTTTAATTTTTTCTATTAGTATAGACATTTTATTAATTAAAAATTTAGATATCAAATTAATTAATTTATTTATTTTTTTCATTCTTTTTTCTGGTAATTATTAAAAAAAAAAAATTATATGTGTAGAATTTAAAACAAAAAATTAAAAAAAGTGATAAATTTAATAAAGATAAGAATAAATAATTTAATAAAAAAATTTGCTAGTGTAAAAATTTAAGTGAAAGTTAAAAAATTCTCCTTTTTCTAAACTTCAATTTTTAAAATAAATTTTTATTCTAAAAAAAAAAATTTACTACTAAATAATAATTTAAGAAGTAAAATTGCATAATAAATAAATAAATTACTTAATTACTTTGAATGTAAATAATCCTATTAAAACTAATATTGACTCAGTTAAAAATAACTTTATATAAGAAGAAAGTAATAACAACAATCATTATGAGCAATTGATACCCTAAGGCTGAAAAAAAATAAAATTTCTTCCCACTGTAATAAAAGAATCTTCCATAATAATCACAACTTATGACTTCCATTATGCAAAATGTCAAAAAGTGAGCCGCTAGGCGGGAAGAATAGAGACAAATTAGTATAAGAATAATCAGAAGATCGATTGCGCACGAACTCTTACTCACTTTTCTCTGATTGCAAAGCAGAATAAAATAAAATAAAGCATTACACCCGGATGAATGTACTTAGTGCCCACGCCGATTGGCATTTTACTGCTCTCGCTACTTGTATAATAAAGTATATGTGTAATGAAGACTCTTTACTGTATCAGACAATTCAATTCGTGTGTCCACGCTCATATCATTCGCTCTTTATATATTATTCTTTATTATTGTCATCTATATCCCGTCCAACTAGACCGGCTGATATGTATGCTGTGATATGTAATATCTGCTACGCAGATACAGATACAGATGCTGATGGTTGATAGCAAATGCCCATGTTCGTGTCTCTTGGCAATTCGTCGAGCTTAATTGAAAAAAATCGCTGAGAAATCGTATTCTTCCGGGCTCATAAAAATCATACTTATTCTTACACTTAAAATTGAATTGTCTAGTCACTTTTTAAATTTCTTCGTGGAGAAAAATTTTTATAAAAAATGTTTATTAATCTATATTATTAAGAGAATGAGCAAAATTTTGTGGCCAGTGTATTTAGATGATAAGTATTTAGGCTGCATTTGAAAATGCTTTATCTCTAGATACATAATTAAGAAATGACCCTGTATCTCGTGAACTATTGACATTTTTACAGTTATAAGCTCATCCCGTTGTTACACTCATCAAGACCTTTCATTTGAGTACCCACATCAATTTTTCATATATTTATATATTTTTCATATATATATGTATAAATGAAAAATATACGAAAATGCATATGGGTACTCAAATGAAAGCTCTTGATGAGTGTAACTTCGGGATGAGCTTATATCTTAAAAAATGTCAATAATTAAGAACTGACTTGGCTATCTTGTCAACTAATGATATTTTTGAAGATATAAGCTCATCTTGATATTACATTCATCGATACCTTTCATATGAGTACGCACACGCATTTTTGATATATTTTTCATATATACATATATATAATATATATAAATATATGAAAATGCATGTGGGTACTCAAATGAAAGCTCTTGATGAGTATAACATCGGAATGGGCTTATATCTTTAAAAACGTCAATAGTTAAGAAAGTACAGGGCATTTTAACAAATATCTTGTGAACTATTGACATTTTTAAAGATATAAGCTCACCCCGACATTACACTATTCGAGACCTTTCATTTGAGTACCCACATCAATTTTTCATATATTTATATATGTTATATATATATGTATATATGAAAAATATATGAAAAATTGATGTGGGTACTCAAATGAAAGGTCTTGATGAGTATAACATCGGAATGAGCTTATATCTTTAAAAACGTCAATAGTTAAAAAAGTACAGTGCAATGAATCAAAATAAATTACAAATCGCAAATCATACTATTTACAAAATAATAAACCAGATAACAGTCCTATGGTAAAATTTATTACTAATACCATTCAATTTATTACCATATTTTTTCCTGGTAATTTATTAATAACCAGATGACATCAATTATATACAATAAATATTTAAATTAAAAATATTCAAGTGTGTAACCGATTTCAAATATTTTTATTGAACAATAAAAGTGATTGGCGGACCCGCTTACCAACTGTGTAAGCATCAGTTAACGATGAGCCTCATCTAAGCGTTTATTGATACTTAAGGACTCATCATCATCATCAGTATACTCAATAACGCGATGATGATACAATAGTTTGTTACAAAACATTTTCTGAAAGACTTATAATAAATTTTTCAATTTGAATATTTTAATTTTTTACTGTAATTCAAACTATTCCATAATACTTACTATATCCATTGAACAGTGTCATTCAGGTACAGACAAGAGTTGCAACATTACAAATTACAAAAAATATACATACCTGCTTTATCATGCCCGTAGTTAATCGATAGTTTGTTTGCCCCAGGTGTTTTCGTTTATCCATTTGTTGTTACATTATCTTCAAGGACTTTCTTGACTTCGCTATTGATGGTCATTGATTAATGATAGTGACTGTCACTGTAGTTTATATATATATATATATATATATATATATATATATATATATATATATATATATATATTAACTAATACTTATTTTTGTTTTACCTTTCAGAAAGTCTGTCTGATACGAGGTGCCGGTTTTATTTAACTTAGTGAGAAATGACGACGCAGCAAGAAGACACGGGAAGCGGCCAAAAAATGGCCATCCTTGTGGAAGATATTATTAATCCGTCGACGGTACTTATGGCAAAAGCCGTGACCATGGTTGTTTTGTGCGTGGTCAGTACTATTATGGGTATTATTCCCATTCAGCTTGGCAAATGCTTCAAGTGGGGCACGCACGACAAAACTGGAAATCCAAGGTAATCTATTTTTTATCAACTTTCAAAGTTTTGCAATATTTATTTTTCTCTTCGCTTTGCTTTTTACTTTTTCAAAAGTTTTTTATTTTTTCTTTAATTTTTTTGATTTATGATCAACAGATGTAAATTTTGTGGGTGGATCTTTTAAGTTGTGACAAAAATTTATTAATGTGTTTTTAGTAGTTTTTATGCTATATAAATAAAAATGTTTATAAACATTTTTATATTTTTTTTTTTAATACAGAAAAATTCAATTTGATTTTGGGAATTTTTTTTAAAATTAATTTTTTTAATTTAAATTTAATTTTTTATTTCTTCTTTTATTAGAAAAATTAATTATTAAATTATTTTTTTTTAAGCATGAAAATAAAATTAATTAATAAAATAAAAATGTTTATAAACTTTCTTGTATTTTTTTTTTAATACGGAAAAATTCAATTTAATTTTGGAAATTTCTTAAAAAATTAATTTTAAAAATTTTTTTTTAAAATTTTTTATTTCTTCTTTTATTAAAAAAATTAGTTATTTTTTTTAAGCATGAAAATAAAATTAATTAATAATTAAATTTGGTTAAATTTTTTAATAAAATTCTCAAGAAGAATATTATTTTTTTTTAAATAATTAAATTTTTTATTAATTAAAAAAAAATTAATTTTATCAATAGAAAAACTAGTTTGAAGAATTTTTTTATTGAATAAAAAATTCGCTTCTTAGATTGAAGATAAATTAAAAAAAATTTAAGCTTTTAAAAGACTCAGAAAAATTTTAATTTTATTATAAAAATATTACTGTAAATCATCATTTATGCAATTTATATTATATAATTTATATTATAAATAATATATTTTAAAAATAATAAGCACATTAGAATTGAAAGTTTAATAAATTACATCTAGACTCAAGAAAGTTGTTTTTTTATAATGGAAATTTTTTTCTCAGTACGCAATGGTGCGCGTTTAATGTCTAAATAATAAATAATTATAATTATAGTATAAAATAAGGAAAAAAAATTGTTTCATAATGTTGATTATATATTATTAATGAAATGTTTTTTTTTTTTTTTTTTTAAATAGATCTTCTAGAATAGTTGGAATGCTCTTAGGATTCGGCGGAGGAGTTTTATTCTGCACGACCTTTTTGCACATGCTGCCAGAAGTCGTAGAAAGCGTTGAACTACTAACAGAACGCAAAGAACTTCCTAAGTTTAATTTTCCTCTCGCTGAAGTATTTGTTTGTACTGGGTAAGTTATTTTTAAATTATTTCTTCAACTCTTTTTATTAAATAAAATTTTTTAAAAATAAAATTTTTATTAAATAAAATTTTTTTAATACATTTTGATGTTAGTCTCACAATAATTACTTCAAAGTAATTAATTCACCATCAAAAAATAAAAATACAAATATTTTATGAATAAATTTCTAATTAAAAATGTTTTTAGGTTCTTTATAATGTACCTGGTAGAAGAAATAGTTCACACCAAATTACGGCACCGTGAACACCACGTAGCCCATCAACACCATCCAGAGAAAGATGTTAATCACAGCACGAATGATTTAGTTGAAAACAACGAAGGCTGTGCAGTTGGACACGTTCACCACGGCCATTCTCACGGGTAATTAATTATCAATAAATAATTCATAAAGTATATCATTTTTTAAGAAAAACAACACTGACATCTTCCTTGTCATAATATTTCTCATTCTTATTATCATATCTTACTATTATTTATTTACATATATTATTTATTCAAGTTACGGTCATGGACATACTCATTTGCCAGCAGCTACAATAAACGATAATCATGATTTTGTAATAAGTTCATTGAGAGGTTTGCTCATAGTTCTCGGTCTATCTGTTCATGAACTGTTTGAAGGTCTTGCTATAGGACTGGAAGGATCTGCCAATGACGTATGGTAAGTAATATTTCAATTATTTTGGACTATTCTTCAATACTTTTCATTTTCTAAAAGACAATTTTTGCAGTTTTATAAATTTCTTTTATTGAAATAAAAATTTCTAAAAAAAACTATAAAAATATTTTATAGATTATTTGTAAATCTTTCTACATTAAAAAAAAATCTATATTAAGAGAATAAGAAAAATTTTCAATTGTCAATTTATTATGATAGATATTTAGGTTGCATTCAAAAATGCCCTATCTCTAGATACATAATTAAGAAATGACCTTGTATCTCGTGAACTATTGATATTTTTAAAGATATAAGCTCATCCCGATGTTACACTCATCGAGACCTTTCATTTGATTACCCACATCAATTTTTCATATATTTATATTTATTATATATATGTATATGTGAAAAATATATGAAAATGCATGTGGGTATTCAAATGAAAGCTCTTGATGAGTATAACATCGGGATGAGCTTATATATCAAAAATATGTTAATAATTAAGAACTGACTTGGCTATCTTGTCAACTAATGATATTTGTGAGGATATAAGCTTACCCTGACATTACACTCATCGAGACGTTTCATTTGAGTACCCACATCAATTTTTCATATATTTATATATATTATATATATATATATATATATGTATAT